ACCTTAATAATCCATAAATTGGATTTTAATTTTCAACCCGGTTTTCTGTGTTTACACCCGGATTTGGCTTTTTTGCTCGGGCATGGAGGTTTCCACCCCTCCATGACCGAGTAAAAAACTTTGGTCATGGAGATTTCCCTCCATGACCGAGTAAAGAACCTCGGTCATGGAGGGGTGGAAACCTCCATGCCCGAGCAAAAAAGCCAAATCCGGGTGTAAACACAGAAAACCGGGTTGAAAATTAAAATCCAATTTATGGATTATTAAGGTACTAGATTATTAAAACCAACATTTTAGATGATTTTAAAAATTATCCTTAACCTCCATATCCCCATGAAAAAGGAGAAATGAAACCGGGTTTGTATGCGGAAAACCGGGTGTGGGGAACCAGGTTTAAACGCGGAAAACCCGGGTACGTTTATTAATCCCCTTTAAATAAGTGGAAGCACTATAATAGAGACATTATTACAATGTGCACTTACATTATAATATTCCATGAGAAAAACATTTAAATAATTAAATAAATAAGGAAAAATAACATTTTTAACCAGAATCTCCTAATAACTTCTGAACCTTAAGTATAACTCAGAATATTACTTCAGATTCTGAATCTACATGCAAAATAACCTAGGGTAGCTCACCAAGTGTACCCCTTAATTATTACTCCTTCACTTACTTTGTAGTCCTTGAGTGATATTGGACCAAAATACACTGTAGACTAGAGATCGTTCGTCGGTACCCGTTGCTAGGTACCTAGTACCGCTCGGCGGGTACCGCCCGCACCCGCCTCGCACCCGCCAGGCGGTGCCGGGTGCGGTGCCGGGTGCCGGTTTTTTGGCAAAAAAAGGGGAGGTACCCGGGTACCGCTCCGGGTACCGCCCCCAAGTGTCTTGACCGGAAGGAACCCCTTCCGATTGATGAGGTACATCTACCTCATCGACCGGAAGGAAACCCTTCCGGTCAACCTGGCCGGGACGCTGGGGTTCCCCCACATTATCCCTGACATGATTTCCCAGATGGGAAATCTTGTAAATTTTAGGGAAATCCTGTAAAAAAAATTAAAGATTTTTCCAGATTTTTAGAGTTTTCTAAATTTTTTTAGATTTTTCCAGATTGTATATATTTTTTCAGATTTTTTATATTTTTCTAAATTTTTCAGATTTTTCCAGATTTTTTTTGCAAGAGACATCTATAAAGTTGAGAAAAATTAACAAGTCCAAACAATCTGAAAAAATCTAAATAAAGATCTAAAAAATCTGGAAAAATTAGAAAAGTCTTAAAAAATTGGAAAAATCCAAAAAATCTGAAAAAATCCCAAAAATCTGGAAAAATCTAAAAAATCTAGAAAAATCTAAAAAGTCTGGAAAAATCTGAAAAAATCTGGAAAAATCTAAAAAATTCAGAAAAAAATAAAAAATCTGGAAAAAACTTTAATTCTTTACAGGATTTCCCTAAAATTTACAAGATTTCCCATCTGGGAAATCATGTCAGGGATGATGTGCCCCCAGCCTCAAGGCCATTTTTTTTTCTTACTTTTTTTTCTTTTTTCTTTTTATTTTTTTATCTCTTTTTTTCTGTTCTTTTATTTTTTGTTCTCTTTTCTTTTTCCTTTTTTTTCTCTTTTCTCTTTTCTTTTCTTTTCTTTCTTTTTTTTTTTTTTTTTCAGCAATTACAAACAGTTTTTTTTAAAATTCTTTTCAATTGTTTTTGACTTTATATTTTTTATGTTTTTAAAATAAAATGATAGTCACAATAAATCTCCTCCCAAAAAAACTCAAACAAGATGCAAAAGGATTGTAATGAACCTTGCAGTCAAACTAAGTGAGGAAGAGAGGGGAGGTACCCGCGGTACCTGCCAAAAGTACCGCCGGTACCCGCCGGGAGGTGCCTGGTGCGGTACTTGGTACCTATTTTCTGAAAAAAATCAACAGGTACCTAGGTACCAACAGGTACCCGAGTACGAACGAACGATCTCTACTGTAGACCCCTCCAGTTACATCATACTACATGTTGTAAGGGGGCTACATGTGTAATTAAGGTTCATGCAGTTCGGGAAAAATCTACCTACAAGGTTTACATCATTGAAACCTTAACTACATGAGCACAGACTACAGTATTAAACTGTTTGGGATGATCTGTGGCCCTTTTTGGCCCAATTGGGACAGTTACTCTCTTGAGGATCAACCCATGCATCATGCAGTGCTGACATGGGCTACAGGAGTGTTACAGTTTCGTCAGAACACCCTGTAAACATGGTTACAAGCCTTACATCATCTCCTTGACACCTGTAACCAAGCTCTACAGGTGCTACAGATGATCAAAAGCTCCCATAGGCTTAGTAGGAGAGTTATAGCAACTAGAGAGACTCCTGAGTTCTCCCCCAGAGGCCCAGAATGGGTATTTAAGAGCCCCTTCTTCACCCTGAACTTTGATTCCCCATCATCATCATTACTTACCAGCACACCAGGGGAAATTTCAGGGCACTGGTTGCCCAGTGACTGCATGTCACCATAAAATCAAACAAAAATCACAAAAAATCACTTTGGTAAAGAACCTGAAATTCCCATATTTTTCACAGTATTGGGAACTGATTTTCCCATATCTTTCACTCAACATTCAGACAAAATTCAAAATAAAATACTATCAAAGTCACTAGAGTTTCCTCATGTGATGAGTTTTTTATGTAACTTTTAATTTACAGAAATAGTAAATAGAATCAGCACAGAATGATTTTTTCTGCAGCCCCAGCATAAAAGTTTGAAAGTCTCTTGATCAGATCAGGGATATTCTTTGTAGATTTAGATCCTCTCACACCAGTCAATTTCATCAAACTTATCATTTCCAGTTCTAAATCTAATACTTTTCTTCAGATAGATTCTGGAATTCATTTCCCCCAGTACAATTAAAAACAGCCTCAAATTTACACAGGGTTTCAATCAAA